TATTGGAGAGGCTTAGCCAGCATCTCCAGAGACAAAGTTCCCAAGAATGCAAACTGTAGCAAGGACATGCGTGCCCTTCTCTGCTCCAGAAGGGCCACTCATTATCTCCCTCACTTTCCCTCCCAGTGCTAGAGGGAGAAATCTCAGCACCATGGGGCTACAGTCCCTTCAGTGTCCACAGGCTTCACCTCCTGTGCACCCTGAGCTCGCTCGGCAGGAAAATCCATTACCTTGCTCTGCTTTGCCAGACCCTGACTCCATCCTGAGCACATCTCCGTCTGCACATCTTTTCTAAAATGCACTAATCTTCAGAATGAAATTCTTTTAGGAAGAGCCCAGAGCCGGGCGGCAGAGGCAGACAGATCTCTATGAGTTCGAGGCCAGCCTGGTTCCAGGACAGGCACCAAAGCTAAAGAGAAGCCTTGTCTCCAAACAAACAAACAAACAAACAAACAAACAAACAAACAAACAAAAACAGGAAGAGGAAGAAGAGGAGGAGGAGGAGCCCCAAATTACTGGGATTTATGTGTGTCACTTTCAAACTATTTTATCTCTCTGACTTTGTCACCAAACACTTAAACTAAAAATCGGAATCTCATCTTCAGATGATGTCAAGAGATTTGGTGAGTGTGTGTGTGTGTGTGTGTGTGTGTGTGTGTGTGTGTGTGTAAGAGAGAGAGAGAGAGAGAGAAAGAGAGAGAGAGAGAGAGAGAGAGAGAGAGAGAGAGAGAGAGAGAGAAAGAGAGAGAACTCAAGGGCCATGCAGGCTTCTCTCCTATCTTTTATCTAGGCTCAAATGTGCCCAGCTAGGTCATTCAGTGAACATGGAACTTAAAGGCTCACAAAGGAAGATCCTCCCTGAGAGAAACATGGAACACTTCTTTTCTAAGGTTTCTTTCTCAGCGCTTCCACAGTGAACACTTAAGGGCCCCACCCAGTATTCTTTTGAGACAGGGCCTCATTACACAGCCCCGCCTGGTCTGGAACTTGGTATGTAGACCAGGGAGAGTAGCGTGGAGCCCACTGAGATCTTCTGGCCTCTGCCTCCTGTGTGCTGGAATTAAAGGCTTGTGCCACCAAGCCTGGATGCTTTACCTAAAAAATATTACATATGTGTGTCCAGAGGTCAGAAGAGGGCACCAGCTCCCCTGGAATGGGCACCACAGTTGTTGTGAGCCACGACGTGAGCACTCTAAGTCAAACCTCTGGAACAGCAGCCAGCCCCGAACCACTGAGTCATCTCTCCAGCAGCCCGATTCTCCAGCATTCCCATCTCCTGAGGAAAGAGACTTACATTTGTGCCTCTTATTCTCTGAGGGACTTGTGACCAAGCCCCCCACTTTCCTGCTACTGGCCTTCACTTCTTGTCTGCACCATCCCTGGACGACTGGCCCTGCTAATGTTGGGACATGGCAGGCCGGCATGAAGCTGTGAAGCCAAAGAAGCCTCCATCCCAGCAAACGAGGCGACATGGGGATGATCGCTGGATAGGACAGAGTTAATGTGTAGGAAAACAAGACCACAACAAACGTGAAAAGAGGAGGCAATCGGCTGAACCTGAGCTACTGGTGTGGGTTCTTTATTTCTGTGATAGGACCCAGGGATGAGCCCATGTCGTGCTGGAAAGCCTCTGTTGCTAAGCTACACACTGAATTCCTTGGTTCTGAAAACTACTTAAGTCATGGATCTCCACCTTTCTTGATGTTTCTTTACACTTGTGTGTTGTCTTTGTTTGTGTGTGTGTGTGGCACACAAGTGGAGGTCGGAGGACAACTTGCAGGAGACATTGTCAGGTCTGTCCTTCTACCATGTGGGTCCTCAGGATGGAATTCAGGTTGTCAGACCTGGTGGCTATCACCATTACCCACTGAGCCCTTCTTCGGTTCAGGTATTTTTAATCTCGTGTGTGTGTGTGTGTGTGTGTGTGTGTGTGTGTGTGTGTGTTGTTCTTCTCTTGTCTATGGAGAACGATAGAAACATGACATTCCAAGTAGCAATGAGCACATGCTCATTTTGTCTTTTTGAGACAAGGTTTCTATGTAGCTCTGGCTGTTCTGGAACTTGCCCTATAGACCAGGCTGGCCTTGAACTCAGAGAGCCATCTTCAGCTTAGTCTCTAATACCATTCTACATTTAAGGAATCAAGACTCCTTAGAGAAGTGTTTATTCTAGGCCTAGGCCGGGGAACATAGAAAATAAGCCTGGTGCCAGGCATGGTGGAGCACGCCTTTAATTCCAGTGCCCGTAGGGACAGGCAGATCTCTGTCATCTACACAGTGAGTGCCAAGCCAGCCAGGATACATAGTGAGACCCTGTCTTGCTTGGGTTCTCTTGTTATGCTAGAAGGTAAAAAAGCAACAGGTTAAAGCCACAAGCCAGATGGGTAGCACACACCTTTAATCCCAGCACTTGGGAGGCAGAGGTGGGGAGGGGGGGTTTCTGAGTTCAAGGCCAACCTGGTCTACAAAGCAAATTCCATGGACAGCCAGGATTGTTACACAGAGAAACCCTGTCTTGAAAAACAAACAAACAAACAAAAACCCGGATAAATATAAGACAGTTTGGGAATCAAAGTCAAAGCCAGGACTTAGCTGACGACAGTAGAAATCAACGCATCTGCACGATTGCCAGGCAGTTAAACACACGGTGAAGGTGGACACCAGAAGCACAGAAGGCAGAATGCTGCTCAGTTGCTGTGGTGATTCAGGCAGGACTGACCACCAGCTACGCTGTAACAGTTGATGGGCAATGGCTACAGGCTCTCCCAGTACCTTCCCACACTCCCATGGCATTCTCACCCAACACCCCAGGCTGGTCGGGTGGAACCCTCAGACAAGTCCAAGAGCTAGCCTAGAAAACAACTGGCCTTCATCCTTCAAGAATGCCATGGTAATGAGAGCTAAAGGCAGGATGAGGAATTCTGTCTAACAGATACATGGTAGTCACCCAGCATGTAATCACGTGGCAGTTAGTGTAGCTCCTGATCCTTTACAAGGAAAAGGAATTGCTACAAGGACACTAGAAACAACAGACAAATCTAAGTACAAGCCATGCATTAAAAACAGTATTGGATGTAGACCTTGTGTGTGTGCATGTGTGTGTGTATATGTATGTGTGTGTGGGGGGGGACAGTATATGCATGTGAGTACAGGTACCTGGAGGTCACTGAAGAGTTGGGTCCCTAGAGCTGGAATTACTGGCAGTTATGAGCTGCTCAACATAGGGGCTTGGAACTGAACTTGAGGCTTCTGCAAGAGCCATTCTCCAGCCCCCAACTTCTTGGTTTTGAAACTTTTTTTTTGTTTGTTTGTTTTGAGACAGGGTTTCTATGTGTAGCTGTGGCTGTCCTGGAACTCACTCTATAAAGCAGGCTGGCCTCCAACTCACAGAAATCCACCTAGCTCTACCTCCAAAGTGCTGGGATTAAAGGCGTGTATCACCATTGCCTGGCTGATTTTGATAACTTTATTTAAATTATGATGGGACATTCTTGTTCTTATGGAACCACATACTGAAATTTGGGGATAACTGGTCATGACAGCAACTCTCAAACGACTCAGAAAATACATGTAAATACTTCAGATTAAATGGGTCAGATATGTTGGTGCACATGTATCCTAGCACGTGGGAGGCTCAGGGAGGAGAATCAGGTGTCTAAGAGCAAGCTTGGCTACCCAACAAATTCAAAACCAGCGTGAGCTGCATGAGAGTCTGACTCAAACAAAAACAGACAAACCAGCAAGTGGGGTAAAATGTCAACAATGGGAATCTTCATAAAGAATATACAAGTTCTTTTTGAAATTATATTAACAGTTACCCAATATTTCCTTCCTCAACCAAGACCCAGCAGGGAGTGTTGAATCTGAGTTGCAGTACTCCATGGAAGTCTGTTTGTTTTGTTTGTTTTAGACGGCGTCTCGGCTCACTGTGTAGAGTAGGCTGGTTTTGAACTTAAGAGTGTTAGATATCTTTACCACACCCAGTCTCCATGGAAGCTATATAAAGAGGTGGAGGGAAAATGCTTGTGACATTCCTGATGTTGAATGGTAAAGGCAGGATACAAAATACTTGGTGCACAGTCATCGGCTGCAGCACTAGCACCTCCCCTGGTGCCGGTGTTAAAGCAAACAGGAAGCAGTGTTCCCGAGCCTTAGCCACCCACCTTGTCCCAGCAGCAAGTCCTGGAGCCTCTGGGAAGGGGGACATCTGTGGAGGTTGGGAGGCTGGATAGTAGGATTCCTACAGCAGCCGTTCTGCTCTTTTTTCTCACTGAGGGGCCTCCAGCTCCTTTCTAGCTGGTGCCACTGAGGCAGCTGCAGGAGGGCCCCGGCAATGACTGGTCTGAGACCTGAGCGAGCGAGCACCCTCACACACGAGGGTCGGGGACGGCTCTCTCCAAGGTAAATGGAGAAAGCTTCTCTGATCCCAGGTACATCGGGAAAGCTTCTCTGAACTTTGAAAGGCTTGGGTGCTCTGGGATTACCCTGTCTCAGGATTAAAGCAGCCAGCCCTTATCACCTTATTCAGTCTGAGGGTGGCACAGCTTTCTTTTGGGCAGTGCTAGGGACTGGACCCACACCCTTCACAAGCTGACAAGTACTGGCTCAGCAGCTGCTGAACACACCCCTCCCCCCAGCATGAGGACAGGTTTAGATAGGATTAGAACATAGGATAGGCCAGACAGCTTCAGGCCTAGGGAGGCAGGGTTAGAAGACCAAGGGCCTCCTTCATAGAACAGACTTTAGCTTCTTAAGACAAGCGTGCCTTAAAGCTCCCTCCTACAGAAATAGGAAAAGACTCAAGTGGACTAAGACACTCTGAGCTGGGAGTTGAGGCCGGTAGGCAAGGAACTCCAGTCCCACAGGAAGGCAGCAAAGGCCATGTGAGTGTCTGTGAGTGAACCTACTACCCAGCCACGCTGGGTTAAAAGTGCTCTAGACCTCCTTCTGACTGCTTCCCAGCAGAAAGGAAAAAGTGCAACCACGCTGAGTCCTGTGACCTGATTTTCAAATATTTTATTACATAATCTTTCATGGCACCATCAGGAGTAACAGAAAACGTTATTCCCAGTTCCTAAACCACAGCCTGAAAAATATACATTTGTATTTATATATTTATATCAACACTCCACCCCTAACCTATAATTCCACCACCTATTGTAGGTCTTTTGCTTAAAGCAGGAAACTATTCTCTTAGGTAAGAAAATATATGTGGAAGCTAAATGAAATATTGGTTAGAGTAACTGGGAAGAGTTCGTTTGTGGGGCAGAGTGGAAGAGTTAAGTCCAGCCAAGGCAGGGTGCATCAGTCGGGGTCCATGGAGGGGGGGAGGACAGAATATAAAAAGGCAGCGTCACACAGGTGGGCTCTGGTATCCGTGGTCCCTCAGGAGATGGCCTTCGCTTCAGGAAGGAAGGCTTCCCAGTATTTTGCCAGCTGCAAAGAAGTGGGGAGACAGTAAGCAAGTTCCCCCGTCTAGTGGCAGAGCCTGAGCTAGCCTAGGAGGAAAACCAGTTCAGAGCAATGGCATGCCCCGTGCACCAGCCACCCAGAAGGAAGGCCTGTGGGGCAGATGCAGCTACACTGTGCCTCCTCCCTCTAGACTTAAGAAGCCATCAGTTTCTGTGCCGAGTCCAAAGGCAATCTCTGAAGACCGCAGCTCTGTTTGCACCTCACGATGGTACCATTGTTCCACAGACGGATTAGTCTCAGAAACCAGAGTGGTAGATAGTACCACAGGGTGGGCATTGGAGCTATAGTTGCAGTGAGAGAAGAGATGGCCCATGGGTAAAGAGGGCAATGGAGATGTATCATCATGCTTAGCAAAGGGCCCTGACTGAGAAAGGGCCTGTTTGCAAATATCAACTGCAGCAGAGCCTCCTCCCTCAGAAGCATGACCCCACATCTAGTCACCAAAGCCATGGAGACAGCTGTCATTGGGACAGGCGATGGGGAGGGCTGTGCATAAGTACATACACACGTACCTGCTGCTGGGAATGCAGGAGTGTCTCCAGGTACTTGATCACGTGGTTTTTGAAGTCCTTGGATTTCTCTTTCTATAGGAAACAGATTCTACACTGACCCCCCAAACAGGTGTTCCTTCCCATTTTGGTGGGGTGGTGGGGTTTACTGCTGGCCAAGGTCAAGCACAGCCTTGGAAAGTAGAGCCAGCAGCTTCAAACAGCTGGGGTCTCCAGCCAAATGGCCTCTGCCACAGCTCGGCAAGCTTTCTTAAGAGGGCAGGGAGAGGGCGGTGGAGCGAAAGAACACACAGCAGCTACTGGCTTTGCGCTGGTCCAGCAGCAGACATTAAGACAGCCACCATGCCTCAGGAACTAGCACACAAGTGCAGACACAGCAGACACGGAGACGGCCGCTCAGATTCTATCTCACCTCAAATCGAATCACTTCTTTCCGGACAACTGTTGAGATCCTTTCAAAGTCCCTTTCATACTGAGTCACCCGAGACTCCCACTGGCAAGAGGAAAGAAAGGTTTGCTTATGGCCTGGGATACAGCTACAGGAGCAGAATTCTTGGCTAGTATGTATGAGAGAGAGAGAGAGAGACTGGATTCGAGATCCATTACCACAAGTAAAGATGATAGGGCGGGGCGGTGGTGGCACAAGCCTTTAACACTAGAACTTGGGAGGCAGAGGCAAGCTGATCTGAGTTTGAAGCCAGCCTGGTCTATAGAGTGGGTTCCAGGACAGCCAAGGCTACACAGAGAAATCCTATCTTGAAAACAAAGCAAAGCAAAACAAAACAAAAACCTGAAATTGGTGGTGCAGAATCATTTAACATCAGGTGCAATTCTACGGGAGAACTTAGCGGATCCTTCCGTCTGTCTGTCCCTTTGGGAAGGGTGAGACAGACATACAAGAGATTGTACACTGCATAGCACAGTCCAGGAGGCCACTGTGGGATGATTGGAAAGACAGCCATGTGCCTCAGCCAAGCCTGGTCTGTGGAAAACTCTAGTACCACAGGAGCCTCTGACTTAGGAACTCAAAAGCAGAGTCAAGAAAACATAATTTAGTTCTTGCCTGGTGTGTGGGGCATATCTGAGTCACCTTACGTGTGGGGCCTTTCAAAGATCCATGCAAGGAGCTAGGGCTACCTCAGGGTTTAAGAGCACTGGCTGCTCTCCCAGAGGATCCAGGTCCAAATCCCAACACCCACATGGTGGCTCACAAGTCCCAAGGTATCCAACACTCTCTTCTGTCCTTTTCAGGTACTAGGCAGGTACACTGCATAGACACACATGCAGGAAAACACCCAGAAACACACAAATTAAAAAAGATAGATAGATAGGGAGAGAGAGACAGAGAGATAGATAATGGGCGGGTAGCAGAGTGGTGGAGAGCCAGGCCTCAAGGCTGCTCTGAAGTTGTCTCAGAGACCTGCCCAGGAGCCCTGGCTCTTTAATTATCTCTTTTGACTGTTGTAGGCTCCCAAGCATCTGGTCAGGATGGGAGCAGTGTTCACAGAGGCACCCTGGGGTAACTCAGATGGGGAGCTCACCTCTGTAATCTCATCCTTAGCTTGCTGCAGTTTGTCAGGCTTGTTGGCCCACAGCAGCCGCGCCTCAGACTCCCGCTTCTTCTGCAGCGTGGCTTGCGCATCCTGCCAGCGCTGCCATGTCTTCATGCGCTGGTCGAAGGCAGCCTATGGGGGAGGGCAGTTGGGAGGAGGAGCACAGCCAGCTTTCTGGTAGCCCTGGCTGACTCTGCCTTAGAGGGAAGCTCTCCTAGCAGTTGTGCCAGGGAAGCACTGGCAAGGGTAGGTTCTGCAGCCACTGTTAGTGCCCAGCTGGGGCATTCAATGTCTAAAAGCACAAGCTTGGATCAGGCCCTTTTCAAGCTTCCAGTGGGCCAGTGCCATGCTACTCGGGGCTGGATGGCTGGGGGCACAGTGGGCAGCCTGATGTCTATACCTGACACTAATGAAGTTTCTAGACTGCCAATCTCAACCAAATCAGACCATGAGTCTATACACTTTCCCCAAGTCTGCCACATGCAAGGAGCTAAGAACACAGTGGGAGCTGAAACACAGTCCTGCTCTCAAGGAACACTTCTTCTGGAAAAGCCATCATTGTATTAGGATTACAGCAGATGTTCACACAAACGCAGAGTCCTGGGGAGACAAGCAGGTGCTGAAACCTGAAGCGAGGGACCATGCACAGCTCTGGAGCTGTGAGCCAAGAAGCCGCCTTTCAACTGACACCAATGGCACACTTCCTTTTGAGACAAGGTCTCAGGTAGCAGGGCAGGCCCAGTCTCATTACATAGCTGAGGAAGACACTGAACTCCTGAGCCTTGTGCCTCAGTCTCAAGTGCTGGCATGAGTCACCATGCTGGCAGCTTAAGGATTCTTTACATAAACACTTAAAATGGTCACATGACCTACTTACTTGCCTTCCTCTCACCCACACGTGTCACTTGCCTGCTCTAGGCTATCAAGGCCTGCGAGAAGCTCTCCAAAAGTCATTATTGGCTTCCTGTTTCTAGTCTTTTAAACAGAATTAGCATTTTCAGAGAAGCTCAGTTGTTGGCCTAACCATCTCCCATCCCACCTATATGCTATGGGCTTCCAAAGGCAGTCCGCATAAAAGAGTATGCCAGGGCCCGTCTCCTAACCCTGTTTATACACTCCCCATTCCCTACAAGGGTTCCCTGCATGTCTCCTAGGCTTCCTCAGCTCACACCTGGGCCAAAACATCAGCCCTAGTGAATGCAGAGTGCAGTGTTGCCAAATTCACCTTCCCCAGCCCTGCTGCAGCTACAGTTTCTTTTGTTTCTCAAGACAGGCTTCACTCTGTATCCAGTGAACTCACTATGTAGCACAGGCTGGCCTGGAATTTTACCATGATCTTCTTGCCTCAGCCTCCCAACTGCTGGGATTACAGGCATGTGTTCCCACATCTGGCTCGTGAAATCAATGTTGAAAGTTCAAGTAAACGGTGACTCCATATCTGAGAAAGGCTTTCAGCCTATCCCACGGCTCTAAGAGGGGTTCAGGGAAGGACACAAAAGAAACCTTTGCTCATTTCTCCATTCCCACCGTTAGCTCACAACAGGAGGGTGCATAGGTTCTCTGAGAAAAGACCTGCTCATAGTTCTACATTCTCAAGTTCTGCCCCAGCCCATGGAGAACCAGGCTTGCCTTCTCTACCCTGTTCACACCGGCTTACCCTGGAGGCATATCCAAAAGCTGTGCTCTCTTGGGAATCCCTGGCCCCCAAAACAATGCTCCTCATAGAACGCTTTCCTCAGACAGCCCTTCCCCAGGATGGCTCTCCAGCCCGAGTAGTCTAACTGGTTCTAAGAATCCCACAGCGGGTCCTTTTCAAGCTTATCTCTCTGGAGTTAGCAGCAACCAAGGAGCAGGACAAGGAGCAGGTCGTAGGCTTCTACATTTGGCAGCTGTGACCGCAAGGAAGTGAGAACCCAGTGGGCAGCTCCACAGTGGGAGATGTGCTGAGGATGAGGAGTAGGCTGCGGGCTCATGCACCCTGATACCGTGCAGAATCAGGTCCTAACAGTGCAGGGCCAGGCTCCTCTAGGTTTCTTCCTCCATCAGGGAGGCCATGCAAAGAGCTAAGACTGCCCAGTCAAGCTTCTTTAACTGATCTGAGAGCTCTGGAAACAGACACCCTGGTCATCAAGAGAAGTGAGGTATTTGACCCGAAGGGCAGCGTGCAGTGTTGCCACCAGTGAGGTCAGCACAGCACAAGGAGGGCTCTGGTGGCAAGCTCTCTCAGCACCTGGGCCACACTCCTCCATGCAACTCCAAGCCAGTTCTGTGTCATTACCTGACTGGTCACACTGGAAGGACAAGTGGAAGCCAGCAAGAGCTCTTATCAGGGCAAAGACCAAAGGACTGAAGAGTCACTCACTGCTCCAGGGGCCAAGCAGCAGTCTGTAATAAGCCTTGCTTGGAGAAAGGTGCGCGGAGAATACTGCCTGTCCTCAACATTAAGGAGGCCTAATTTAAGAGTGGGCTGCTGTGGGCCTCAGAATAACAGGAGGTAACTGACTAGTTTAAGTGATTGCTGGGGTCTACAGGGTCCTTGTAACAGGGGTTACAATCACTCCTAAGCTAAAGTGGGATAAACTTTTCTTAGGAAGTGGAGAGCAGGTGACACCTGGGGCAAGGAAGTGAGGCTTACTCGGACAGTGGCCAGGAGGCGAATGTAGTCACTTAGGAGTTCAGCAAGGAGGAAGAAGTCGTTGTTGGCCTGTTCCTGGTGGAGCTGCTCGATCTTCTCTTCCACCTCAGCCAGCTGGGAGAGAGCTCGTGACAGGGCCGTGTTGTCCTCAGAGCTCCCGAGCATGGCAAGACTCTTGGCAAACTGGGCTGTGTTCAGAGCTAGCTCTGGAAGGAAGCAAAGATAGCAGAGGCCTCTGATCTCTCAGGAAAGAGACAAGAGGATCCTGTGAAGCATATCCTGGCAATTCTGGCCCCTGTGTGTCTGACAGCTGAGCGTCCTGTGCCCAGTCACCCAACTCAGTGAAGGAAAAGTGGCCTGAGTTGGTCACAGGACTGGGAGGGAACATTCCTGCTGTCCAACGTGTGACTAGGTCTGGCCACCTGAAGGCTGCAGCTCCAGCACCCTGGAGAGCCAGCTATTCGTTCATGAAGGAGGTCAAGGGAAGGAATGGCTCTGGGGTTTAAGCTCATGAACTGCCTATATGCACCACACATCCACACACATCCACACGCATACACACAAACATACATACACAGACACACACATACACACAGCCACACATACACACACAGCCACACATACACACAGACATACATACACAGACACACACATACACAGACACACACACACATCGCCACACATACACACAGACATACATACATAGACACAGACAGACAGATATACACAGACACACACATACACAATCACATGCATAAACACATACATACATACACACACACATGCATACACACAGATATACATACAGACACACAAACACACACACCCAGACCCTTTCGCTTTTTTTTTTTTTCTTTTTTCAAGACAGGGTTTCTCTGTGTAACAGCCCTAGCTGTTCTGGAACTCGCTCTTGTAGACCAGGCTGGCCTCCACCTGCCTCTGCCTCCCAAGTGCTGGGATTAAAGGTGTGTGCCACCACCACCCGGCAACTCTCACTTTTTAGAGCAGAGCAAACTTTCTGTACAGGGCCAGTCAATACCTCAGGCTCTGCAGGTCTCACAGTCCCTGTAACCATACTCTTTTTCTTTCTATTCTCATGGTGGGAGGGTCCAAATCTGTCCTCTCAGCCACGCCATGGCTTGTCAGCCCTTACGCTGCCTTCATGCTAATGGTCTTTTAGATTTCTTGTTACCAGTATGTTTAGAACACAGAAAGAAAGTAGTTCCCAGTGAAGCAAAGCTCACTCGAGGAAGGGGAGAAAGAAGATACAGATGGCTTCCCTGTGTTTACACCTTGCTAGCATGACCATGTAACAAAAGCACTATTATTTCAGACGCAAGTCACCAACTCCCATCAACAAGAGCAGATGTCTCTAGGCAGGCTCCCTCCACTCACTGCCCATAGTGCTTTGAGTCATGTTCCTTGCCAGGAGATCAGGGCAGAGCGTGTTTATCAGAACATCAAGCAAAAGGTGGGCTGAGAATTTCACCTTGGACGGCTGAGCATTGGGAACACGATGCCTCTCATCTCCAGCCCGCTACAGACACTGCTGTCCCCTGTCCAGGGGGTTTCTGAGCCAGTGGTTACCTTTCCTGTGGTTGACTAGAGTCTCTACCACAGCATGCAGCTTCCGTAGGCGCTGCTCCTCGCATTCCACCTCTTGGAGCTTTTCCTCGAACCACTGAAAACACACAAGCCCAGAGCTGGGTTAAAAATGTTTCATAAAGTGCAGGGAGCAGCTTTTCTTCAGGGGCTATTTTTGTTCTTTCAATTGAAAGGAAAACCATCTCAGAAATATCAGGACTTCTCAGGGCATCTGAGGGGCATAGCTACTCACAATGTCCGACTCATTCATCTTGATGGTCATCTTGCTGACTGCGTCTGTAGCTTTGTTGAACATCTTAAGGAGACCAGCACCACTCAAAGCCTGTGTACCCACGGCACGTGGCAGCTACAAGACCAAGAAGGCGGGGATGGCAAGTTATCTGCTGCCCCTATTTTAGGTTCAGAAGAATTAGTATCCATCAGATGGCATGCCCAAAACGTGTCAAACAAGTTATTCGAACTGTAGATTCTTGTATTCTAAAGAAGTTATAGCAATCTAATGTGCAGAAACAAAAATCAAAGCCCCATGGCAGAAAGATCAATAAGAATTTCAGCTTTTAATGTTATTCATAGAAAGAAAGCAGACGGAGAGTGTTGCATGGCTAGGCAACCTCACAGCGGGACTGTCTGCCCATCCAGGTGTGAGCTACTTAAATACTAAGCATTACTTTATTTTATTATTATTACTTTGCTTTGTTTTGTCTTTTGTTTTTGAGACAGGGTTTCTCTGTGTATCCCTGGCTATCCTGGAACTTGCTCTGTAGACCAGGCTGGCCTCAAACACAGAGAGATCCACCTGTGTCTGCTTCCTGAGTGCTGGGATTAAAGGCATGCACCACCACTGCCTGGCCCTTTATTTTGTAACATTTTAAAATGATTTTGTGTGTGTATGCATGTGCAAGAGCACACCTACGAGGTCAAAGGACAACTCTGTGGAGTCAGTTTTCTCCTTTCACCTCTGCATAGACCTAACTCAGGTCTTCAGGAATCCAGGGCAAGCACTTTTCCTGGCAGAACACTGAATTCCTTTGTTAAAGTAAAAGGATCCTGCAGGGTGTGGTGGCATATGCTCTTGTAGAGAAACCTTTAGATTAGCACGCTCTGCAAGAAGGGGACTCACAACTTTGAGAGTTTCCACAGTGAAGCAAAGTACAAGATAGGGGCATATTCTTTTTTTGTTTTCTTGAAACAGGTTTCTCTCTGTAACAGCCCAGGCTGTCCTGGAACTCCTTTGGTAGACCAGACTGGCCTCAAACTCACTGAGATCTGATGCCTCTGCCTCCCCAGTGCTGGGATTAAAGGCATGCACCACACCGCCTGCCTGGTGGGCATATTCTGCATGCAGCCACTTTTACACAGTAAAACTGTGTTACAAAATCAGTTTCTTAAGTGGCTTAGGTGTTCAGGATGTCATTCAGTACTTCTTAAATTGAGGCCCTCTGCTCCAGAGCACATTTGACAGTATCTGAAAGAGAGTGTGGTTGTTCCAGATGGGGAGAGAGTGCTGCTGGCATCCAGCGCGCAGACATGTTCCTCATTGTAATAAACATTTTGCAGCACAGGACAGCTCAAAGGTCTTCAAAGACAGACGCTGCTCTGGATTATCAAGTGAGCAAGAATAGATTAGAAAATATCCTGAGGGGGTCTGGAGAGATGGCTCAGTGGTTAAGAGCACAGGCTGCCCTCTCAGAGGTCCTGAGTTCAATTCCCAGCAACCACATGGTGGCTCACAACCATTTGTAATGAGACTTCTGGCTTGCAGGCATACATGCAGGTAGAACACTATATATAGTAAGTAAGTAAGTAAGTAAATAAATAAATCTTAAAAAAAAAAAAAAAGAACTATCCAGAGGTAGAATTAAAGGACTTCAGGCTTTGACATTATTTTCAACAACAAAAAAGTCATTTTGAAGGGGAAAAATCTCATTACAATAATCCCATTTTATTATAGTAACATTTTTTTTTAAATTAAAAACAAAAACATAATGACAGTCTCGTCATCTCAGTTTTCTAAGATCATGTTATTTTCCTCTGGTCATGTGACTTCTGCTTTAGAGTGTGCTTGCTATTTGATGTTTCCATATACCCGTCTTTCTTTACACTTTCTGTTTGTGGTCAAAAGAGTTTGCTGTGTGGATATATTTTATGTAGTTCTTCAGTTATTTGTGACTGCAGTGTCTCCAATTTTTCACAATCATGAATAGCCTATGCATAGTCTATAAAAAACAAACCAACCCTGTCTACTTCAATCAACCCTTTCACTATACAGCAGTTCTGTGTCTGTGGTGGCGGGATTCTAACTAATGCCTCTCAGGTTCCTAGCACAGACACATTCAGTGTGAATCCATCAGTGACCTATGCAAGCCAAGGCCCTGCCACACAGCACTGTTTCCTACAAGATTCAGTGAGATCACCGTTTGATACCAGTAGCGCTCTTTTCTTTTGGAGCAGTGGAAATTCTTGTCCCTTTTGGCGGACAAACTCACTGGCTACAGCGTTTTCTTTGTCAAATGAACCTGTTTCATTTCACTAAGGGTAGACAGGGACAATGAAGTTGAACTTTGTATAATACGAACCTCTTCCTTTTCCAAAAACTCCCTGACGTCTGGGTCTTGTAACATGGTAGGATGATTCACAATTCTTTGAAGGTACCTGATGGGTAAAAATCATCAGCAGGTTAGGTTTGGGGTGTCACACAGTGCTGGTCTGGACCTGTGTCTTTTACTATTTAAAATGTCCTCAGATAAGGCATGTAAGCAAATTCCTGTTTGTAACTATTCAAAACTTCATTTGGGGGCTGGAGAGATAGTTCAGTAGTTAAGAGCACTGACGTTTTTTCCAGAGGACCCCAGTTCAATTCCCAGCACCCACTGGGTGGCTCATATCTGGCTGTAACTACAGATCCAGGGGACTGGATACCCTTACACGAGCATACACATAGGCAAAACACCAGTGCACATAAAAATTATAAATACTAAAAACAAACAAAACACTTCACATTCTTCACATTTCCAAAAGTAGCCAACTGACTCATCAGAAAGACTCTGGAACCATCCCTGGCTGGTGCCAGAAGGAAATGTGACTGTCTGTCAGGAGGGGGAGGAAAGAGACGTCTTATGAATGAGGTGGGAAGGTGGGACTTGGGAAAAGCCATCAGGAACAGGAAGGAGAGGCTGTAATTCACCTCAGCTATGTCCACTGATGCAGCGAACCTCACCACTCTACAGTGACCCACCATAGGGTTGGCAGGCACTTACCTTTCCAAAGCAGCCCTCCTTTTTTCAAGAAATTCTGCAGAGGAAGAATCTTCCTTTCCAACTTTCACTTTTGTCATTCCTAGGATGGAATTTAAGAAACAAAATAACCATAAACAGTAAAAAAGGACAAATCTATGTCTTATAAAGAGTCATTTGAGCTAGGCGGTGGGGGCACACGACTTTAATCCCAGCACTCTAGGAGGCAGAAGCAGGAGGATTTCTGTGACTGTGAGACTAGCCTGGTCTACAAGAGCTAGTTCCAGGACAGGCTCCATTTGAAGGAAGGCAGCAAAGACAACTCAATACACCACCATCTAAGGATATTTCTAGGTTAAAAGCAGGAGTGGAGCAAAAGTTCTTTACTAATTAAGTTTTGCACATGCTAGAGGCTATAACTATGGGATTTAGATTGTATATTGTCATTTTTTTTAATGTGCATTGGGGTAAAGGTGTCAGATCCCCTGGAATTGGGTCTTCAGACAGTTGTAAGCTGCTACGTGGGTGCTGGGAATTGAACCTGGGTCCACTGGAAGAGCAGTCAGTGCTCTTAACCACTCAACCATCTATCCAGCACTCCCCTCCCCTTTTTTTTAAGAAAAAAAAAAAAGGCACGTGTGGTGTCACATACAAGGAGATCTCTGTGAGTTCCAGGCCAGCCTGTTCTTCTACACACTGAGTTCCAGGCCATCTAGGGCCACATAGTGAGACCCTTTTTCAAAAAAAGTGGGGGAGGGTCTGGAGTGATGGCTCAGTGGTTATGAGTACTGTCTGCTCTTCCGAAGCATGCAGGTCTGAGTTCTAGCACCCACAGAATGGCTCACAACTCCAGTTCCAAGGGATCTGACAGCCTCTTCTGTCCTACTCAGGCACTCACATACTTGGTGCATATTCATACATGTATGCAGGCAAAACCCCATATATATAAAATTAAAAATAAAATAATAAAACCCTGTCTCAAAAATCAAACAAAAAATAATAAAAAAAATGTTCTGAGATTCTTAGTATAGATCAACAATCACTTGATGGCAGTAAGAAGGCTCCTCCCCTAGTCCACAAAGCAATTTCAATCTGGAGAGAAGAACAATTGTTAACAGTCCTGATGTAACTCAGTGGTAGAGTGTTTACCTAATGCATGCCTGCAATTCTAGCACTCACGAGTCTGAGGCAGAAAGATCAAGGGATGGATGAAGACCTTCCAGGTCTATACAGTGAGTTTGAGGCCTGCATGGGGGATAATAAGACTGTTTCAAAAGGGAACAAAGTGCTACAAAGCTGAAGGCTTGACACTAGAGGACGTGTAAAAATAGCTGCCCATTTCTCTATTCCCCAAAATACTCAGGCCGGGCGGTGGTGGCGCACGCCTTTAATCCCAGCACTCGGGAGGCAGAGGCAGGTGGATCTCTGTGAGTTCGAGACCAGCCTGGTCTACAGAGCTAGTGCCAGGACAGGCTCCAAAACCACAGAGAAACCCTGTCTCGAAAAACCAAAAAANNAAAAAAAAAAAAAAAAAAAAAATACTCAAGTGGATTCAGAACCACAGGCTTACCTATGAGGCTCTTCTCAGGTGGAGGTGGGACGATGAACCCATTCTGAGAGTGTTTCTCTGAAAGCTTCTCATAGAGACCCAGAAAGTCACTGAATCTTCTTTTTACTGCAAACTGCTTACTTCTGAACATTGGTAAGCTCGTCTTGGGAGATGGAAAAAAAAAAATCACAAGGCAATTTCATTCCAAATCCAGGAGTGAATATCTATCCTGCTAACATCAAAGGTAACAGATTTCCCAGATCCCTGACTTTTAGACACCTAGAAAACAACTATGTCCAAGACAGGCTCTTAAACACCAAGCTATAGTCTTTTTTTTTTTTTTTTTTCAGTCTGAGAATCTAAGAAACCCTACTTAGGTTGGGCAGTGGTGGTGCATGCCTTTAATCCCAGCACTCAAGAGGCAGAGGCAGATGGATCTCTGAATTCAAGGCCAGCATGTGAGTTCCAGGACAGGCTCCAAAGTTACAGAGAAACCCCATCTCGAGAAAAAGAAAAAGAAAAGAAACCCTACTTAGAGTAATGATTTGAATAAAATAAGAAAATATAGGATTGAGACTTGGTGGGGGTGGCTCAATGGATAAGCACAGGGAACAGTTTGAATCCTCAGTGTCCACAAAAACGTTGGGCATGGCTGAGTATGGTGGTGTATACTTTTAATCTCAGCTCACAAGAGGCAGAGGCAGAGGCAGAGGCAGAAGGATCTCCTGAGTTCAAAGCCATTCTGGTCTACACACCCAGCTCCAGGATAGCCAGGACTGACAGAGAAACTCTGTCCCCCCAAAAAACAAACCAAACCAAGCCAAACCAACAACAACAACAACAAAACACAAAAGTTGTGCCTGGCTGTACCTCAGCACTGGGGAGGTGGGAATGGAGACAGGTGCCTTCTCGCCAACTAACTCTGCTAAAAGGCAAGGTTTTAGGCCAGTGAGAGACCCTGTCTAAGGCAGTTAAGACAGAGCAATAGACTAAGACACCCAGCATCTTTTTTTTTTTTTTTCAAGACAGGTTTTCTCTGTGTAGTTTTGTCATTGAACTGGTGCCTGTCATTGAACTCGCTCTGTAGACCAGGCTGGCCTCAAACTCACAGAGATCCACCTGCCTCTGCCTGGGATAAAAGTTTTTGCTCCTCCACCGCCTGGCTGATGACACCCAACATCTTATTGTACTTCCATATGAATACACATGAATATGCACACTTGGATATTCAGGTGTAGATGAGGCTATAAAGGCAACCAATAAAATTCAAATATAGCTTCATTCCTAGGTTAAGAACACTTGCTCTAGCCAGGCGGTAGTGGCACACACCTTTAGTATCAACACTCAGGAGGCAGAGGCCGGTGGATCTGTGAGTTCGAGGCCAGCCTGATCTACAGGGCAAATTCCAGGGCAGCTAGGGGTAGGTAGAGAGACACTGTCTCAAAAACAAAAAGAGCACTTGCTCTAATCAAAGAAACACTGACTTCTAGTTAAAAGAATTCTAACGGTCATCTGCAACCAACTTGGCCTTTATTGACTTAATTAAGGGTATCAGCTACTAAAATCAAAGTAGACAAACAAAACAAGACACACTGAGGGATGCTTCTAGGAAGAAATCAGATAAGATGTCTATAGATAGGGGTGGAGAGATGGCTCAGCAGTTAAGAGCACTGGCAGTTCTTCTAGAGGTCCTGAGTTCAATTCCTAGCCATCTATGAGATCTGGTGCCCTCTCCTGGTGTGCAGGATATATGCAAGCAGAACACTGTATACACAATAAATAAATATTAAACAAAAAGATGTCTGTAGATAATAACTCTAAAGTGTTGTGGGGTTTAGAGTCCATAGGAGAGCCAAGGAGTATTAGAGAGAAACATAAAGAAGTCTCCTGATAAAAGTTAAAAAAAAAAAAAAAAAGACTAGGGTGATGGCTCAGTGGTTAAGAGCACTGGCTGTTCTGAAGAATACAGGTTCAACTCCCAGCACCCACACTACATAGTGCATCACAATCATCTGTATGCAATCTAGTCCCAGGAGATCCGACACACACACAAAATCACTCATAAAACATTTTTTAATTAAAAAAAAAAAGTCAGGGTCAGGTGGTGGTGGCATGCGCCTTTAATTCCAGCACTCTGGAGGCAGAGGTAGGTGGATTTCTGTGAGTTCAAGGCCGGCCTGGTCTATAGAGCTAGTTCCAGGACAATTAGGGATGTTACACAGAGAAACACTGTCTCCAAAAAAAGGGGTGGGGCAGGAAAGCTAGGGAATACATTAGGAGACATAACTATATTCACCAGATGGGCAAAATTTACAGGGATTGGGTCCACCAGTTACCTCTGCCTCCTGAGTGTATATGCACTGCCCAGCTGCATATACATAGTTTTTGTTTCTTTGAAAAAGAGTCTCATTTTAAGTACTTCAGACTGTTCTCAGACTCCTGACCCTTCTGCTTCTGCCTCCCTAGTGCTGGGGTTACAGATGTGGTTCACCTTGCCTGCCCCAAGAACTGAAAAGTTTTAGACAGTTACTCTTCATCTGAGGCAATCCACTAAACTAGCTCCAGTCACACAGTTCCTGTGATGGGGTAAAAGTCAGATATGCTGTACATTTTAAACCTTGCAAAGTTTCATATTGAGATATTAGTTTTCTGGCTTTTCCAGCACTTGGGAGGCAGACAGGGGGATCTCAGTGAGTTCAAGGCCAGCCTGGTCTACAGAGAAGTTCCAGGACAGACTCCAAAGTTACAGAAAAACCCTATCTCAAAAAAAAAAAAAAAAAAAAGAAAAAAAAGAAAAGAAAAGAAAAGAAAAGAAAGAAGAAATGAAAAAGAAATACTAGCCTACTCTGGTGTACCTAGTTAAGATTATCAAGGGGGCTAGAGAAATGGCTCAGAGGTTAGGAGGTTAAGAGGCTGCTCTTCCAGAGGATCTGGGTTGAGTTCAGTTCCCAGTACCCAAATGGCAGGTTACAACCATCTGTAACTCCAGTTCCAAGGGGCTTTAATTTAACACTCTTTCTGACCTCTGTGGGCACCAGGCATGCACATGCATACATGCAGGCAAAACACTCATGCACATAAAATAAAATAAAGATTACCAAGGCACTGTAGACTTGCTATGGCTTGAGTAAATAGGAAAAGTTTATTGAAAAAAAAAAACCCAACCAAACAAAAAGATGCCCAGGAATAATCTAAATGTTAACCTATGTATGAGCAACCAGGTCTATTGAGGTGCATCAGCAATGTCACTGAAACTCACCTGTGTAGTGACTTTGTAGGCTACATAGGCATTCATACCGTCCCCTGTGGGAGAATAAGAATGGAGAGAATTATTCTTTTAACTAAAGAAAGAAAAGCTGATCCAGTAACATTTAACTAGACCATAGCTACAGAGCCTCTATTAGACCATAGCTACAGGAACCCTCTATTAGACAGGCTTGTTTCATTTCCAGGCTTTATATGTAATCCTAAAATCCAGTTTTTCCTGTGTCTTGGGGGTTGTGTGGCACACATGCCCCCACGGATGCTGGCTGGGCCCCAGTATGAGTTAGACAAGAGAGTCAGTCCCCTGTTCCAAAGCTAGGCTCCATTTATACCCTCCATAAAGCAGCACCGGCTACTGACAATTCACCAGTTGTTACCATGCCAGTATCTGGGCTGGTTATACACATCTGTCCAAAACCAAACAATTCTCTTGCTGTATAAAGCAGGAGAAAGAAACAACTGCTGTAAAAGGAAACAAGCAGTTCTGCCCTAAGCTAGCTCCAGGCTTGCTCTGCTCTTTCAGAGGTCCTACCACTGCTGCTGGAGACACTGATCTCTCTGATCCAGCACGTTCACTCAGAGCAAAGAGCCTGGCAGGAAGACACTTGGGCTGCCTGATGTCACAAAAATCTTCCTTTCCTGGAGGAATTATTTTTATGAAAAGGCCTTTGACTGTTAAATAATCCAGGATTCAAGCAACTGTTTTTCTCTGTGGCAGTGTCCTGACCTAGACCACTTAGGGAGATAAAGGCACTATTGACTTCCTAAGCCCCAAAAAGATATATATTGGAATCCAGATAAAACCCCAGCACTGGACCATGGGGTTTAGGGTTTTTTGTTTTGTTTTTTCTTTTTCCTTTTCTCTGATTCCTCCTCTTATGAACCAGGAAAGCCTTGGTCAACAATTCCCATTGCCTTTGCTTCTTATCTGATTCTGGAGTGAGGACCAGGAAGAAGAGGTAGAACAATTAGTACCATTTGTAATTTCTATTAAGGATTTTAGCAACTAAGCTTAAAATTAATGTGTTATGCAATATTTGTATCGTAGCTCTAGACTATCAGGCAAGAGATTCCTAGATATGTACTCAAAGCCCTGGTCCTTTTTTTACCTATACCACACTGTGCCTTAACAGGAACACTACTTTCTTTTTGGTCTTCTCTTCCCTCTTCTGGTAGGTGAAGGAACTGAACAAGATGCCCATAAACACCCTGCTGGTGAAGCTGGCAGTTGTGAGTCCCCCACTTTAGGCACTGGGTCCTCTACAAAAGCACTCTTAACTGGGTGCTCTTAACTATTGAGCCATCTCTCCAGCCCCTGTTTGAGGTATTTTTTTTTTTGTTTTTTTTTTTGTTTTGTTTTTCAAGACAGGGTTTCTCTGTAGCTTTGGTGCCTATCCTGGAACTAGCTCTTGTAGACCAGGCTGGCCTCGAACTCCCAGAGATCCGCCTGCCTCTGCCTTCCGAGTGCTGGGATTAAAGGCGTGCGCCACCACCGCCCGGCTGTTTGAGGTTTCTTATTTTTTATTATTAATTAATTTTGTGTTTATAGGTATGAGTGTGGGCATGGTCACACCATAATATACATGTTGTCAGAAACAACTCTCAGAGTGGGGTCTCTCCTACATGTGCGCCCTGGGGAATCAAACTCAGGGGCCAGACTTGGCTGCAGGTGTCCTTAGACCTTCTGACATCTTCTGGACCTCTGTTTTAATTGTTTGTTTTTCTAAGATTTAATTACTTATGAATGTGAGTGCTCTGTCTTCACACACACCAGAAACCAAAGGAAGAAATCTATCTGGTCCCATTACAAATGGTTGTGAGCCACCATGTGGTTGCTGGGAATTGAACTCAGGACCTCTGGAAGAGCTGTCAAGTGCTTGTAATGTTGAGCCATCTCTCCAGCCACCTCTCCCTGTCTGAGTTTTTAAAAATTATAACTATATTTTATGTCTCTATTTTTTTTCTTCCTAAAGATAAGAAAAAAAAATCCCAAGTAATGTGATCAAAAAGCTTAGTTCCAGGAAAGACACTGATGAAGCACTTCACTTTTGCTGGTTCAGCTCTGGAGAAGCCACTCCCGAACTAGCCAGTTAGGATCCCTTATAGCATCACAAGAGTCCAAGGACCTTACCGATCTTCTCAGGATCAGTAATACCGACTGTCAGATCAAACTGGTCCTCCTGTTCTTCTTCCTCTAGCTTTTAAAGAAAAATAAAGAGAGTTGACACAAAAAAGGCTAGACATTACACAGCATTCAACACCTGCCAGTATAACAAAGTCAAGATGTACTTTTCAGTGTTCAGTCTGTCCATTTCCAGGAGCTCCAGTGAAGCAGCTCACAGGTCACTTTCACATCGATTCCTTAAAATCTTACTTTCATGATAATAATTATAGGATTTTGGCAGACTTGGCCTTTTTTGGGCAAAGAGGGAATAGAGCAAGGTTTATGGGAGCTTCTGACAATAAGTAGCACCAGTGACAGCAAAGCCTTTATGCTGCCTAAGAAAGAGTTCCTGTTTGGATTCTGGCTGTGCGTTGAGCAGAGGTCGTCAGGAGCTGTAAATCTTTACTCAGGTTCAAATCCAAATGGACTCCAGACTGGCAGCACACAGTCCTAAGACACAAAAGCAACCAACAGTGCATAGTCTCACCTCCTCGTAGCTTGGCTGCAGTTTCGGAGAATTTGTGGCTCCTTGCAGAGAATGAGAACTAAGGGTTTTGGCTGGCATCATTTTCTGGTTATTCTGTGTACTATCCAGGGAGAGCTCCACTGTGGCATCTGAGAACAGTTGATATTTTAAAATGAATGTCAATAATGGGTTTTCCACAAGAAAAATGGCAAGCACCAACACAACAAAAACAAGAGCCACGGAATTTTGACACGACTCAAAAGAGACAACACTGAGGGACTGTTATTATCATGGGTTTGGTAGAGCAAGCTCTCCCTCTTCTGCCCAGACACAACTGTATGGCTACCTTACGTCAAAGAAACAATGATCTAGCAAAAAGACTCCACAGCCAAAATAAATGCTTAAATAATTTTACTCTTGGAAGTGGTCACTTAAAACCTTACCTGAAACTCATTTATTCTTGTTTTTAGTTGTTTGTATAAGACAGCACCTTTGGTTGTCTGCTTTATAAACAGCATGACAGAACTGGCAATCACACATCAGAGGAAACCTCAGGAAAAGTATCAATTAGAAAATACACAGTAACACTTGGGGAAGGGTAGTTTGGTACACATGAGTTACACTGACAGTTCAAGAACTAGTCACAGCCTACACAGGTGGCCCATGCCTTTAATCACAGCACTTGACAGGCAGAGGCAGGGGAACCTCTGTGAGTTCAAGGCCAGCCTTAACCACAGAGCAAGCTCCAGGACACTCAGGACTGCATAGAGAAACCCTGTCATGAAAAACCAAACTAAAACACCAAAACAAAACAAAAACAAACAAAAAGAACTCATCACAAGACAGTTTAGCTATATCCCAACAGATTAAGCTATAGTTTGTAAATGCCGTTAGAATGGGGAGGGGTGTAGCAGCCCCTCAAAACACTTATGATGAGAACAGTTTTCAGAATGAAGATCTGATTTTATATATTTATTTATTTTTGGTTTTTCGAGACAAGGTTTCTCTGTAGTTTTGGAGCCTGTCCTGAAACTCGCTCTGTAGACCAAGCTGGCCTCGAACTCACAGAGATCCACCTGCCTCTGCCTCCCAAGTGCTGGGATTAAAGGCGTGCACCACCAGATCTGCTCTGTAAGAACAGAAGATTTGCTCTTTAAGAGCAGCCTCTCTGAGAATGCAGGTGAGCAGAACAACTCGTTCTCTAAGTGTTCCGGAGAAATGACTTCTAAAATAGCATTCTGTACCATTTTTAGACATTAAAATTTCTTATGCAAATGCACTTCCAATGTGGAGCAACAAAGCTAGAAGTTCTAACCCCAACCAGTTCATTGCTTTTCTTTTTAGTAAAGAAAAACATAAATATCCACTTGTGGGTCTGACTGTTACGTGTTCAGTTTAATTTTGGGGACTACAGAGAAAGCTGCTTCCTTTTCTTTCTAGACTTGAAAGGGGAGCTAGGCAGAACCATAGGAGTTTAGATTACTGTGCTGACAACTGAAAGTGAGTCATTTCTGTAAAAGACCATGCCATGGGGACATAAAAGAGGAAGCAGCACACGAAACGAGTGAGTGTGTTAGGTTGTGAGGTCTTTGGAACAAGCAGCCAGCTCAAGCTTGTATTGGAGGTTCACCGCCTGAGATCCCACACAACAGATGAAGTTAGTAAGTGTGCGTGTACTGTTCACTGAAAACCTTTAGGTGAAACTGGGTGTCATAGGTTGTACCTGTGACCCCAGCACTCCAGCCAGGCCTAGAGCACAGACCTAAAATCTAGCTATTCATGAGGCTGAGGCAGGAGGACTGATAACTCAAGGTCCACCTGAGCAATTTAGTGAGCCCTTTTCTCAACCAAACAAGCAAACAAAAACTGACTGGTGTCCTGTCTAGCTTTTATGCTGACTTGACATGAGCAAGGTCATCCTAGAGAAGAGAGCCTCAGTTGAATAATGCTTCTGTAAGATTGGGGTGTAGACACTCTGTAGGGTATCTTAATTAGTATTTGATGTGGGCCCAATCCATTGTGGATGGGGTCATCCCTGGGCTGGTCCTAGGTTCTGTAAGAAAGCAGGCTGAGTAAGCCATGAGAAAGAAGTCAGTAAGCAGCACTCTCCATGGCCTCTGCATCAGCTCCTGCCTCCAGGTTCTGCCCTCTGTGATTATGGACTGTGGGATGGAAGTGTCATCAAAATAAATCCTTCCCTTCCCCATTCATTTTGGTTGTGCTGTCTCACCATAGTAATAGAAACCCTAACTAAGATAGCTAGGGACCTAATTCAGCAAAAGGACACTTGCCTAATATATGTGAGGACCAAGAACAATTCCCATACCATGAAAGAAAAAAATTCCTAAGAAGTTGAAGTAGGAAAACAGAATGATAGGGAGTTTGAGGCCATCTTGAGCTACATAAAAGGATGCTGCATCATATGGGTAGGATGTAATCTAAGCTTCATGCTTATAACCTCAGACTTGGGATGCTGAGGCAGAAGGAATGCCATGAGTTTGAAGCTAGCTTGGGTCACAGAGTGATGAGGGAAAGGGAGAAGAGAGAGAAAAGGGAGAGAAATCTTTTTTAAATTTGCTTTTTGATTTTTCAAGACAGGATTTTTCTGTAGCTTTGGAGACTGTCCTGGAACTCACTCTGTAGACCAGGCTGGGCTTGAACTCAAAGAGACCCGCCTGCCTCTGCCTCCCAAGCACTGAGATTAAAGGTGTGAGCCACTACTGTCCAGCTGATATAGTATTTCTATAATTCCCCTGACCACATTTCTAACATTTAATAATTTAGCTCATGTTCTTTCTTTTCTTTTTTATTTTATTTATTTTTTTGGTTTTTCAAGACAGGGTTTCTCTGTGTAACAGTCCTGGCGATCCTGGAACTTGCTCTGTAGACTAGGCTGGCCTTGAGCTCACTGAGAACCACCTATCTCTGCCTCCCAAGTGCTGACATTAAATGTGCATACTACCACTGCCTGGCTTTTTTTTTTTTTTTAAAGGATTTGTTTTGTTTGTTTAGGGATTTTGTTGTAGTTTTTTGGATGACCTCGGACTCCTGATCTTCCTGCCTTCAGTTTCCAAGAGTTGGGATCACAGACATAGACCTCCATTATACTGGGCTGGGCTGAAGCTTTTCAACTTATGCATATGTATGGTGGTTTTGACTTTAATAATTTATAATTTAATAAAGTTAAAAAAAATTTAATAAAGGTGACTAGAAGGTACTTAAACTCTGAGTCTCTACTTGCCTGCAAAGAGATCCTGTGGCTCTTGGTCTTGTTCCTCATGGATCCCATTTTCTTTGGAACCATTTTTGATAGGAAAAAGGGATGTGGTTTTCTTTGGAGACTGGGGCTGACTCTGAAAACAAAGAGATACTCCGAATAAGATAGAACCATTAAAAACCAACTTAGCCTACCTAGAAAGTGACTGTAGTGTCCCTCTGCTCCCACAGGTGTTAAGAAGACAGGCTGGCTAGTTAGCCAGCTCAGTAAGCGGCAAATCATTGCTAGAGTTGAGACTGCTGCTGCTCAGGTGGCCTCAGGGCTAAGTTCACACGGTTTAGGATTAATTTTTATAGCTGTAATCTTGCTGGAATATGATACCCAAACCACAAGATACCAACATAGATATGGATACACACAGATAATTTTTTAAATCTGCCCCAATGCATTTCTGTTTCTCAGCTGATGACTTTTTTATTTCAAATGCTGACAGGGTTTATTCTAGTGACCAGCACACCACATTGGAACTCCAAATTCAAGCTCTGGTTCTAGGCTTCCTTTGAGGTATTAGCTAAATTGTTAACTGAAGCTTAGACATTCCCAACCCACCTGACAGACCCAGGAAGACATAACACTTTCTATCTAATGCTGCTCAGAAATACAGTTCAGGTTTTGTTGTTGTTGTTGTTTAAATCTGGAACTCACATGGACAGAAATTTTAGCCATATTCCATGGTAGGCTGAAAAATAAGACCAGTCATGCTTGGCCTAATGGTCACACAGTGAAAACACAGTTGGTCAGTGCAGAGTCACAAACAAGGGTAGGGAGGATCCCCAGGCCGGTACCAGCAGGAACAAAGCTGGATTGTACAGCACAGAAGCACACAGCTTGTGCTACTGCAGGGCTTTGAAGTCAGGCCCTAAGGCCAAGTCAGTTAAAAGACCTGACGAAAGGAACTTTCCCTAAAGCATTCCCTTAATGAATCTGAGGGAGTCTGTCCCTTGGACAGGCTTTTTTTAGACCCACAGAACAAAGTAAAATGACAGCTCTTTTGGGATAATCCCTGAGCTTGTCATGCAAACAGCTTCCTCTTCATATTGGGCATTTCCCTTTCCAGGACAGAAAATTTTAGTTGCATTTGATTTGTATTAGCTAATAATGCTTTTATGGGGGCTGCTGTGTTAATGAGGTTCAGCGGTAGATGCTCAGACAGTATCCTCATCTGTCAGAGACAGTGGTCCCTCCTCTAGCTGCTCCCAAATCCAGCGAACAAAACTGAATTATTTCTGAGAAGACAAACAAAATGAAAACAAAATTAGCACTTCCTGCCTCAAACACCGCTTGGCCACCCTTCCCATACAACCACTTCCTTCCTACACTTTCACTCCCCATGATCTCAGAAGCCACCTGATTCCACTTCTTTCCCACTGGGACCAGCCTCTTCAGATAGAAAATCTGGAGAGCCGGGCAGTGGTGGAGCACACCTTTAATCCCAGTACTCAGGAGGTAGAGGCAGGCGGATCTCTATGAGTTCGAGGCCAGCCTGGTCTACAGAGCTAGTTCCAGGACAGCCTCCAAAGCTACAGCGAAACCCTGTATTGAAAAACCAAAAGAAAAGAAAAAGGTTTTTTTTGCATGTTTTAAGAAAGCTAGTTTTGAACAAGTAAAATTCCAATATCAATTCATTTTTGGAGAATGAAGAGACACACACAGTACACTGAATGCAGAGCCAATTCTAATGCTTTATAAAGCATACTTGTAAGACTTTTTAGTAAGCAGTCAAGGTAAAGCAGGGCAGCAAGTTCAAGGCCACACTCAGAACTACTCAGAGCCTTGGGGACGCGTGACTGCTACCTATCAGTTTGAAAGAGGAAGCATTTCTAGGCAGCCAATGAAAATAGTGTCTTGTTGTAAGCAGAGTCAAGAAACTATCCTACTATCTCCCCTTGTCCTTTTTCCGTGAAAGCAGCATTCTCTTTTGTTAGCAGAGAGGGTTCCTAGCTCAGATATCCACACCTGCTGACTCCTTTTGGCTGTTAATTATAGCAGGTGGCTCCACTGATAAGTCTGTCCGAAAGCTTCTGCTTATTGCAGTAAGAGCACGGTGGGCTAACGCTACCTAAGCTGTGCTAGAAAGATTGTGCAGAAGAGGGCACACTTGTTAAGACCAATGGGTAATCTCTAACAATTATCCACCTCAAACTCTTAGGCACAGGCCATCAGTGTGGTTTTCTTTTCTTTATATAAACTTTAATTTTCAGTGAGTAAACTTTATTCTTTCTGTTTCTCTTTTTTTAAAACTTTTATATACATTTGTGTTTGAGGGAGTTGGATCCACTGGAACTAGAGTCACAGGCAGTTGTGAGCTGCCTTGTGGGTGCTGGGAAGTGAACTCAGGTCCTCTGGAAGAGCAGCTAGTGCTCCTAACTGTGCAGCCATCTCTCCAGTCCCAAGTGTGATTTTCTTAGTATAGGAAGGCAGGTGTGGGCTCCTCAGAGCTGACGCCACCAGTCTGCACTGAAACCACTGCTGGGATTCTGGGCAACTTCCCTTGAGGTTAGCAGTTGTGATTCTTCCCCTTGTTGCCTAACTGCTCTTTGCTCCACATAGGACAGAAATTACATTTAAGAGATCCCAATAGGGTCTGTCAAAACTCTCAACTGGGGCTGGAAAGAGGCTCAGCAGGTAAAGGTGCTGCCACTAAGCCGACGACACAAGTTCAATCCCTGAGACTTACATGGTGGAAGGAGACACTTGATTTCTGAAAGTTGTCCTATGACCTCCATATGTTGGCAGTGGTATGAATACACATGTGTGCACATACACATAGATAAATATTATAAGTAACTGCATTAAAAAAAACCAGAATTGTACTAAAAGGCCCACTCCAAAGTAAATGCTACGGTAACATGGCTTTTGGATGGTTAGAGTACTTATTTTTAACATTTGTTTATTTACTTTTTTTTTTTTTTTGAGGCAGGGTTTCTCTGTGTAACAGCCCTGGACTGTCCTGGAATTCACTTTGTGGATCAGATTGGCCTCAAACTCGCAGAGATCCTCCTGTCTCTGCCTCCTGAGATTTAAGACATGCACTCTCACGCCAGGCTGAGTATTTCTTAAAGAGAAAACCGAGTATAACTGAGTAAGGCTAAGGAGTTAAGGAAACCGCAACCACGCTGCTTTATTTAGGCAAACGAAAGGAAGAGTCAGTTCCAGGAGCCACACCCACACAGCAGGTAGGGGAGTCTTTACAAGCAACTCTAGAAGTCCCTGGCATGAAATAATACTGCTCCCTTTGCCACCTCTACTAAGGAGAAACAAATATGGCGGTGTCAGTATATTAGCTGCTCGCTAGTAGTAAACTATCACAAATCCAACAGTGTAACGGTGCAATCTCATCATTCTCTAGTCCTCCCAAAGTCCACACATCATATGTCAGGCAAAAATCAAGACGTCAGTGGGGCTGCTTCCCTTCCTGAAGGTATTAGGGGACAATTTTAGAAGGTAAATATCTGCAGATGACTCTTCTCCCAGAATCATGTTCAACATTTAATATTTGTACTTGGGAAAATGAACATTCTGCATCAGTTGGATTCTGTGTGCATCTTACTCTACAAACTGGATAAATAAATGGTTAATTTAAATATTTCACAGTATTACCTTCTCTCATAGCTTTGGCACCCCCTTCCCCCCACACCTTGAACCTCATGAGCCACAGAATTTAAGGGCTGGTCTCTGAATTTGGAGAGGAAAATTAACAATTTCATTTTCCCTTACCTCTGGCCAAAAAGCACCGTTTTCTTTGATCATAAAGGAAGGCATATTGTAACAACAGCACTTGAGACAATAACTAATAGACATTAGGTATTTACACTCTGTTTTGAAGTGCTAGAAATAGAACTCAGAATCTTACCTGTGCTGGGCAAGCACGTCACCAGTGAATCACAACCTAACAGTAGGTACTTTGTGCTTATCTTTATTTAAAAATTGTGATAGTTATATATATTTCTAGATTTTATTATCAAAAATGATATGCTTGCTTTTAATCCTAGCACTCATGAGGCATAGGCACTTGGATCTCTGTGAGTTCAAGGCCAGCCTGGTCTACAAGAGCTAGTTTCAGGAAAGCTACAGAAAAACCCTGTCTCGAAAAACAGACAAACAAAGAAACAAAAGGTAACCCTGTCTCAACACCCCCATCACTTGAAAAAGGATAGTCTAAGCTAGGTATGGTGTTTCAGCATTTGAGGGGCTGAGGCAGGAGGACTGCCTTGAGTTCAAGACCAGTGTGAGCTGTTTAGTGAGATCCTGTTTCAAAAACAAAGCAGTGCATGCTACTAATGCAAGTAGTTTCCTTTGTAAGCTTACATATTTTATTTTATGTATTAAAATATTTTGTTTTGAGAGAGGGTCTACACAATGAGTCCATACCATACAAAAAAGTGAAGGACTTGTGAGGTAGAGGGAAGATCAAATGAAGGGAAAGGTATTCTGGAGGAGTAGAGAAAAGGAGCCCAAAGCTGACCACTTTGCTATTTAAGGAAGAGCACCAGCAAGGCCGTTGGCCATCTAGGAGTAAAAAGGCACACTGTCTGTTGTCAGCTCAAACAGAGCTCAAGACATGGCTCCACTCCTGCTCTAACTCCTTTTCCTCACTTTTGGGTGGGGAAAACTCCAGGAGGACAGAACACTAAAGAGTGGATTAGCTCCGTCATGGAAAAGGCAAACCCAGATTAATCTGTCCTGAAGCCAGTGAAGATGTCCAGCTGGTCGACTGACTCAGCACAGCCTGAGGCAGAAAACAGTTGAGCAACAGGATTTTTCTGGAGATGAGGTGCTTGTGGCTACTCTCTGCAGCAACTACTCACGATCTACTCATGCCACAAGTTATATGAAAGTGCTCAGAGGTTCTGAGGACCAAGCTCTGAGGGAAATTAGAGAGTTCTTTTTCCCTTTCTCCACTCCCAACCCTTACCAACTGCCAATAGCCGAGTCATTAGAGC